AGACTCAACCTTTAGAAGAAATGACATTCCCTTTCTGGAAACTACTGCAGGATTTTTGTGCCTCTCAACAAAAAAAGTGAGAGTTCAAAAATCTTATAATGCCCAAAGTACAGGCAGAAAGTATTTCATCATCTGGCTCAAAAGTGATGGGAAAGGGGGAAAAGAGGTCAGTTTGAGAGGAACTAAAAGTTAAAGTGAAAGCAATCTTTACTTTTTGATTAGCTTTTAACAAGGGTCCCCTGGTAATACTCAAGCTTGCAGTGAAAGATACTGTAACATAAAAATCTAAAGGTGAAAGAGTACAGGAAAGGAAACCAGCCATGGTTCTCTGTGTGGAGCACAGACCTCAATTCTAGGAAGATTAAATTCATTTCCACCTGATGAATTCTCTGAGACACTTACAGGTGCAGTTCCTTTGTACCCATCCTCTGCAGTGTTATTGGTTGGGAACACCCCCTGCCAGATATTGGCATAATGTTGACCTCTGGGCTGAAGCTTGTTGCCCCAGGGGAAAAGTCTAGTAAAAGACATACAGGAAAGCAGTTGTCAAACACTTTTTTTTAATTAAAAAAAATGAGACCTCCCCCACCCTTCTTCCTCCACATCTCACCCCAGGGAACTGTATTCCAGTTCCAAAAAGACACTGAGGGCAATAAAACCCCACACAACTCTTCCTTGGCTAGTGAGCACCAGTTTAAACCAGTGACCAGGACCCCTCTGGGACAGGTACCTGTTCTCCAGGCCCCCCCTGCAGCTGTACTCCCACTCAGCCTCAGTGGGTAACCTCTTCCCTGCCCACGTGCAGAAGGCCACAGCATCATTCCAGGAAACATGAAGAACTGGATGGTCCATTCTGGGGAACAAAATAAATTAGAAACACAGAATCATTAAGGTTAGAAAAGAACTCTAAGATCATCAAGTCCAACTGTCAACCCAACACTACCATGAACACTAAACCTTGTCCCAAAGTCCCACATATACACATTTTTTGAAGCCCTCCAGGGATGGTGACTCCAGCACCTCCCTGGGAAGCCTGGGCCAAGGCCTCATGACTCTTGCAGGAAAGTAAGACAAGATGAGCAGCAAAACTAGACAATCCCACAGCACTTCATCAAACTCTTTCAGAGGTGGCCACAAAGGACCATGAGGAAGTTTCACAGTTCAGTTACAACTGGACATAGTATCAGATGACTTTTACAGAACAGCAACCATTTAAAGTAAAGCAGCAAGATGCTGTAAGGGAAATGCAGCCATCAGAGAAATACAAGGAAGAGGAAAACAAATTAACTTCTGTTTGTCTCAGCACGTTTTCCCTTCCAGCTCTCTACAGTTAAATGCAGTTATGGCCACCTCAGAAACCTGCTGCACTTGGGAGCCAGTGAAGGACTATGCTCACACTGGCTTCTGTGGAAACATAGCTGCTCAGAGGCCCAAGGGAAGCCACCAAAAACCTGCAGCATTGCTGGGCTAGTTTAACAGTAACTCAACAGGAAGGCTAACTTCTCAACACAGAAGCTTACACTGCAGTTGAATAGTGAGTGCCCTTCACTCCCCTCTGCACTCTTCTCTTACTGCAGGTTCTTTCCTGGCTCTCAGCCGTGGGCTTTTTGAGGGAGAGGTGAGATGAGAAAGAGTCCTTAACTCTTAGCAACATCATCTGTTGCAGCACTCAACCCACAAAACAGTGAACTGCTGGAACTGAACAAAAAGTGTTTTCCTTTGGGTGTTTTGAGCAGTCCTCAGTTTATGCCGAAACTTTCGTCTTTCCTTTGGGCTGGTTCCAGGACTGCCCTTACAACCCTGGTCCCTTCTGCCAGAAGAAGACAGAAGGAATGCCTAGTCATGCTCCTCACAAGGATCCTCCCCATCCAAGCCTCTAACAGACACAGAAATGTCAAGAGCTGAGGGTACTGCTCCAGGACTTCCTATGAACTTGTCTTCCCTGCCTGACTCACCGAGCCAGCCTGTGCCTGCTGACCCACCAGCTGCCTCCACGTGGCCAGCTCACCTGTGCTGTGCCTGGGCTGTGCCACACTTCCACAAGACTAGATTTACATGGCAGGTTTCCAGCTCTTACCTGCTGACTGTGACCTGAATTTCTGCCTCCCCCTAACAACGCCTCCTGATATTATCTCTATTTTTGCCTCAGATAATTCCTTCATTGCCCTTGGAGAACAGACAACGGACTCGTTACTAGGCAGTTCAGCCATCAGATGATGTTACACTAACATAACCCTGTCCTTAGAGGACTCAAAAACATGCCAGCATCTACTAGATCTAGGCTGGAGAGTCTAACTTTATTTCCAATAGCAGTTTTGAAACTTGAACTAGATTAAAGCAGCTAATGCCAAGTTCATTGACACCTGCCCAGTGAGAGGAAGAGCTGTCACAGAAGAGTCCCAGATGAAGACAGTGACAGCCAAGTGAGCACAGAGTAATCTGAATGATGGCTTCCAACATGAGCAACCCAGGGCTACTCCTGCAGTGTCATAAAAGAGAACAATGAAGCCTTTTGATGTTCTGGGTATAAAATTCATTCCACCCCTGACTGGAAAGAGATCGTGTAAAGATGTGGATCTGCAAGTCTGAGGGTTCATGATAGCAAAGCATGGCTCTAACCACAGGCTGCTCAGAGCTTCCAGGGAAATCACAATCTATTTCCCACAATAATCATCCCACAGAGTCAGAATTCAGTAAAATGCACAAAGCTCTTCAGTCTGCTCTCTATAGAGTCTATCTAAACATGTGTGGACAGGCTGGAGAGGGTCCAGAGAAGTGCCACCAAGAAGATCCAAGGGCTGGGAAGCTGTCATGGGAGGAAAGGCTGAGAGAACTGGGTGTGTTCAGCTTGGAGAAGAGAAGGCTGAGCTGAGACCTCACCATGCTCCAGTATTTAAAGGGTGCCTACAAAGAAGATGAAGACTCCTGTTTTATAAGGAGTCATGTGGAAAAGATGAGGTGTACTGGATATGAGTTACTCCTGGGGAGATTCTGACTGGACACAAAAGGAAAATGTTTCACAATGAGAACAATCAGCCACTGGAATGATCTCCCCAAGCAAGAGGTGGAGTCCCCAACACTGGACATGTTGAAGATTCAGCTGGACAGGCTGCTGGGCCAGCTTGTCTAGACCAGACTTTTCCCAAGAAAGGTTGGGCCAGACTGGTCCCTTCCAGCCTGGGACTCTTGGATTCTGCTGCCAGAGAGACAACCTCCAAATCCCAGGTGCAGGAATGTAAATATATAGGAAAGTGTGAATAGAAAACCCCCTGAAGCACATTTCAGTACAGTCTCTTTTTCCTTGGGTGGAAAGTGCTCACAGACCTTTCTGAATTACTACATCATTGACCACGTGCCCACTGAACATTATGTGACAGGCCAGAAGATGGGAAAAGGTCACAGAAGCAAAGAGGTAACTAATTAAAAGCCCTTTCCTGCAGCCCCATTCCTGGTGCAATTTACAGGTGTATTTACAAGCACTGTGTATTATCACTGAATGGCCACCTAGGGCTTACCTGCTGGAGATATTAGAGTCAGGACCCTCAGGATGCTTCCAGTTGGCTCCCTTCACAGGCAACCACCATGGAGCAGCTGCAACCTGAAAAGGGACAAGAATGACCAGAGAAGATGACTTAAAATCCCAGCTAAAGGCTATTCTGAAAAATCACCATGTGACAACAGACTCTGCCATCTCTGATGAACCAAGGTGACCATCTGACCCACAACACAAGGTTGCTGGCCAGGAAACAGCCCAAAGTATGGAACATCACAAAGAAAATACCACCCAAAACCAAGCAAGAGGGCAAGCAAATCCTGAGCAACACTTGTCTGAAGTACTGCCCTCTGGTTGTCTCTCCTTCCCTTCCACATCTTCTCACCTGCAGCTCTGATCCAAAGCCCAGTTTACTCTTTGAAGGCACAGCCTTCAGCATGCTACCTGGAGTGGACCACAATGTCCTCTCAGAAATTCTGTTCTTGACCTCTGAAAACACATCCCAAGAACACTCAAGATGGTCGTGGCTGGAAGTAGTCACCTGGAACAGCAGTTTTACTCTTTTACCACAGTATGCCCACAGAACAGTCACACCAGCTCACCCCCTGGCTGGAGTCTGACACATTCAGTAGAGATGATTAAAAAAAAGACAGTTTTGGCTTGAAGAGAATTTTCATCCCAATTATTTTCTCCCTAGACTCAGTGTTTTGGAATAACTAAAGCAAAATTCTGATGACATCCTGTAACTAGGGTCAAAACACACATCTCACAACACATTTGCTTTCCAGTTAATTAACTCAGTAAGCTGTTTTTAAATTATTTGCTACAGCTTCCAGAAGGTGGAGACAGAAGAGCCACAGAAATGAAGTGAAGCCTTTTCTTTCCCCCTGTTCCCTTGCTGAGCAACATTAAGCAGACAAAACACTCAGTAACAACGCAGACATCAAGTACTTCTCTCTAACCAAGAGCCTCAAATTTGATTCTGCAATGCCAAGGAATTATTACTGGAATACATTCATTAAGGATTTCTTCTATTAAACTTGCTGCAGAGCTGAGGAGGTCAGTGCACAGCACATTTAACTAGTCTATTCTGATGCCCATTCACTTAGAAATACTTCTCTTAATAATGGGTCCTTTCAGAAAATTGAGGCAAAGAAGAACACTTAAGCTAACCATCAGAGTAGTGGTTTTATTCCAGCAGCTTGAGTGCTTGCTTCTGAAATAATCTGTTTACAGAGATAACTTCCATAAGCAACAAAAATCAAAGTAAATTAGCCTCCAATGGTTTAGGAGTTCAACCATATAACAGCTGGTTATCCCTAGACCCAGGAGATGCAGGTGCTGCTCCAGGAGTGGCCTGTAGAACAGCCTTTGGCAACTTCTGCCCTGTCTAAGGCCCCTCAGCTCGGGCAAAGGGAAAAGGTGGAGTATTTATTTCTCAGCTGGAGTCGATGATCTTAAAGGTCTCTACCAGCCAAAACAATTCTAGGACTCTGTTATCCTTTAACTCACCACATCCTTCACAGGAAAGTCCAAAAGTTACTCAAAGTTGGTACTCAGGAGACAGAGCATCCATCCAGTCAAACAACTTTAACAGCAGCTCCTAGGAGGAAGCTGCCAGTGATGAGCAGTCACCAAGTAATTACATATGTGAGAGAAAAAATCACCTATGGCAAACATCAAGCATTAAGAAAAGCCCTTGTCCAAACTACACATCAGCCCTTTCATTTGAATGTTTCAGTAGGAAAATCAGTTGAAGTTTGTAAGAAACAGAAGCTGCTAATACACAAAGACAAACTGTCTTAATTTAAAGCATCTGATCAGTCTGTAACAGCTCCCACGACAGCTTTTGGCTCTTCTCCCATCACCACACACAGATTTTTGCCTGCAGCACACATCTGGGTACCTTACCTAAAAGGTCATTGTAAATCAGTAGCAATCCTGGACTGAAACAGCAGAGCCAACAACATTATCCCCACAAGCAGAGCTCTGACATTTGATCTCTTACTAAAAGCTACAGCTGTTACTGAGCATTCAAACCCAAGGACAGGATCCTCACCCAGAGATGCTCCACTCAGCTCTAAAGCTTCAGAATGAAGCTGCTGAACAGCTATTACAGTCAATGGGTTTAAAACTATCCTGATACAACCAATTCCTTTTACATTTTGAGCTCTAGCCTTTAATCTATACACAAAAGGTAGGACAGAAACCTAAAGTTAGAATTTTAGAGCTCTTCAAGGTACATAAGAGAGGCACAGCAGCATTTCCTAAAGGTTCTCTGGGAACCTGAAAGATTGCAAGTAAGATTTCATCTCAGTAGTTACTAAGCACAACATTTTTGTAAATTAAACTGGTTTTTGATTAAAAAAAAAAA